GAGAAAATAATATGTTATCAGTAATCAAGCATTTAGAAAGATTAAGCTTGCTGGCATTAACAGAGCCCCACAGCTATAAAAGATGATTCCTAACTTTCAATAATTGCTTCAATTGCCAAGAAACACCACTCCACTTGAACAAGCCAAATATCGTTACTTTCGAGAAAAGATTCTTGAGCCAACTTATCCACAAGGAAACTCTTTGACATTGGATTTCCCAAATCAATTTAGCAATAGATGCAGAGTTCCAGCCATAAGCATGATAGACACCAAGGGACACCTGAAGATTTTGATTTGCATACCTCAAGAGATTTTTGTTATCACCTCCTCCCTAGAGATATTTTCTATAACCCGACTCAATGGTGTTGAAGACAGATTTATGCAGCAAGAAATCAGTAATCCAAAATATCTGAATGCCAAGTAAAACAACTTTGACTAAGGTCACCCTCCCTGCATAAGATAGTTTCCTTGACTTCCAACAGCTAATTCTAGCAATAATTTGATCAGTCAAAGTTGGTACTGAGATTCGGTTAATCCCCCACAAGATAGAGGCAAACCAAGAGAAACTTCAAAGTAAATACTGATTTTAGCACTAGTGGTGGATACAAGAGTGATGGTTTAAATTAGAGTTGAGGACAATACCTAACAGCTTAAGCTTTTTGTTAGTCTAAGGGATGTAGGAAGCTGGAATCAAACAAATTGTTGGATAGCAGGTTTCCTAATCTGTTTTGGTAACATGATTCTTAATCTGTTTTGGTAACAATATTCTTAATCTGTTTTGGTAATAGGTTATTAGGATTCCTAATCTGTTTTGTTTTTGGTTTTAGAATTCCTAGCCTGTTTTGGTTTTAGATTTTCTATATATATGGAACGCCTTAGAAGAGATTAGATATCAGAGAAAAAGAGGGTTTTGAGAGAATTCTTCAGAGAGATCTCAGAGAGATTATATTCTATTTGTGGGCATTGTAATCTTCTTCAATATTAATCAAAGAATTATGTGGTGTGGCTCCCGAGGACGTAGGCACGATTATCGAACCTCATTAAATCTGGTGTGTTCTTTCTTGTTTACTTTCATGTAAGTTTTTTATCTTTTATTTGCTGTGATTTTTCTACTTTCCTACTCTCAAACACAAGGTCTGGAAGGGCAAGTGTTCGATTTGATTGTTTCGAATCCCCAACAACTGGTATCATAGCTTCGTTCAGAAGGATTGTGAGAGAGTCATGGCAGAGAAAAGTAAATCTAAGTTCGAGAAGTTTAACGGTTTAGAATTCGCCTACTGAAAATCACAGATGGAGGACTATCTGTACCAGAATGACTTGTATCGCCCGTTGATGGGTAAGGGTAAGGGAAAGAAGAAAAAATGGTCAGACAATGATTGGGAGATACTAGATAGGAATGCTCTAGGAAAAATTCGATTGGGAGATACTATATATTTATGTCTTTGATTGGGCCTTGGGCTCTTAGGCTCTTTGAATTCTACAATTATTTTTAATTTTGTTTGTTTCTATAAATTCTATAATTATTTTATATTATTTTAATTTCTATAATTTTTTATATTTATAATTTACATAATTACAATTAATTAATAATATAATTTTTTAACAAAGTTGTGTTTATTTATTTATTTTTTTGTATTCTTGAAAAAATTTAAAAAAGTAAAAAAATTTAAAAAACAAATAAAACCCGGGCCCGGGTTCGGGCTCCGGTTTTGCCCGGCCCGAATGGATAGCCCTAGGTCTACCGATCCGAGGGTATTCAAGAAAATGTGATAGTGGCAGAGAAGCTCCCATAGAGTTTCTGCCACCTGTGGGGCGTGGTCGAAAATGCGATTGATTTCTTGTCACCTGGGGACGTATTCTTCGTACGAGAATTCCTCCATCGGCAATCCACACACTTCATACATCTCATGAAGTACCAATCGCAGCTCCCCATTTGATGTGAAGAAGGTACCGCTGTCTGGATAGTAGAGTTTTAGGATACTGTGAAGCTAGGAAGCGTTGATCTTGAGGCCATGTTGAATGGCCCTGGTAGCTCTATATAACTCTGACCCCTGCAAGTCAGAGTTCTCCGCCAACACATATTCGGTGATTATATGCCACCACGGACTGTTACCCGTCGACGAGTGAATCCACCGATGAGCCCTGAAATCCTTTTGAGGAAATTGACCCCTAGCTCTGAAGAAACGGCGACGATAGATCCCAGCTACCACGAGTGTCTCTCTCACGGGTAGCTCACTCTGCAGTAGACCGGGGTGTAGAGCAATAGCATGCCTATTGGAGCTGTCGACCCCATAACCAGCCGAAGAGTCAGTGAAAATTCCACAGGTAACTCCATCCTGAGACAGAGTTAACTCCTAGTTAATCGTACGGGGGACAGAGAGGGAACGCAGCTCCACTAATGAAAACCCCCTCGCCATGCTGGGGAGAAAATAACGGACTCCATCTATCTCATGGAGCCACATGCTCTCACCAAGGAACATGATGGGGTGGTCAACTGCGGCATCGCCGAATGTAAAATCAGATTTGCTTATCTCCGGACGTTGAGAATCCACCAGCATCGACTCTGTGGATAGTTCCCGCAGCGTCAAATAGTGTCCCTCGGACACCGCTCACTTCAGCTCGCTCGCCTTGTCAATATCAAAGACTGGCACCGAATCAAGGAGCGGAAACCGATGAGGGGCTGCGAAGCTAAGCTCGTCGGAGAAAGCAGCTACACAAGTAAAAAACGAAGGAAATATAAGGAATTCTTCGATCCAAACAGTCAAATTATTCTCCAAGTGTTGGAAAAGGCGGCCTTGCATGTTAGACGAGCTCCACCGAGACAGGCGGGCTAGCCAAAGCTCACCTAACGACCAATCTCGCACTAAAAACACGAGCTCGGTCTGATGACAAGACTCCCCAAACGACCGAGCTCGCCTTCGAGCTCGCCTGCCATTGTGCTGTTTGATATCCTGGCGAGCAGCTCCAACAACTTTTAGGATTTCTGATAATAATAACATGTTTTGCTGCTAATAGAACTACAAAGTATGATTTTTTTTTCTTTGTTGCACAAATAGCACATTCCGGTTCCACTTCTTACAGGTAATAGGGTTATTCTAACTTAAGCTAGTCTCAGCTGAAAATCTCGATAACCCAGCTATCAATTCTATGCGGGTTCTTGATTTCACAAAATCAAGAACACCTTAAATCAGGCGATCAAACAGCACAATTCAAGCCACAGAATATCCAATTTCACTAATAAATCAAGAACCAAAAGAAACCCAAATTCAACGACGAAAGGAACTTGCTCACAGCTTCTCTCTGAACGTGGGCGTGTCCTTCGGAGTCCCAAGCGTGTTGACAAACCTCTGAAACGTGGCGACGGCAGTGTTGCTGTGGAGCAATCCGGATGCCATCGCCTGGGTCGGATCCTACCGGCCGTTGACCAGATCCCTCCGACCCGTTGGCGGCCGGCCCGATTCCAAATCCTGAAAGCTCATCTTCTTCCCTCCCCGAACCCTAACCCTAAAAAAACAATCGAATCCTCAGGGGCCGAACCGATCGGAGACCGAATTAGGGTTCGGGTTGGGGTTTTCTTACTGATTGTTTTTAAGGGAATAATCTGCTTTAATTTCGTCGGAGGAGGAAGGGGGTTGACGAGAGGGGCAGAGAGGGCGTTAGGAAATTAGGAATCAAATATTGGAGGAAGAGGTCATTATGTTGGAGGTGTTGGGGTGGGGCCCGCAGACGAGCATTATTATCGTTATCGTGGCGATGGATTATCCGCTGGTCGTGAGAACAGGAAACAGCGAGTTTGGACCAGTTGTAGGCTTAATGGGTGTGCTGTGAGTCTGCGACGCAGGAGGCGACGCGGGAGGGGAGCAGTTTGCCTTCACGGACCAGTTAAGCCATAGCTTTCCCGCAACGGTACAGCTTGTTGTTTGACCGTCAACGAAGCTACAAGGCAAAATTACATGTAGGCTCTGTTTGGCAAAACTAGCTGAAAGCTGTGAGATTATAGCTGAAAGCTGTTAAGCTAGCCGAAAGCTGTGAAATTATAGCTGAAAGCTGACAACTGTGTAGCTAGCTGATTGACTAGAGCTGTTTGGCAAAAGTAGCTGTATAACTAGCTTAAATTTGTTAAATGACTAAAAAAGACATGCAATATTATTGATATAAAATTAGAATTATTAGGGGCAAAAACGGAAGACAAAAATTGGCAGCTCCTTCCTAAAGACAAACGCTACTTGAGGTAGCTTTTTAAAAGCTACTTGCAAAAGACACAATCTCTAAAATAATCTCCTCTTATTTTTGGTCACCAAACAGCTCTACTAGCTTATTGACCAAGTCAATAAGACACAAGCTCTTAGATAAGACACTTTTTTTGATTGCCAAACAGTACCGTAATCACTTTAAGATTTTTCAAAATTACGTAAAAGCATTCTCATCATTTAGGCTAAATAGCACTTGCACACCTTATAGTTTCACTCCCTTAGCACTTCTATACCCTCGGTTGTATTTTGTAGCATTCATATACCTTGTTGGCAAAAATTTACATGTCGGTACCCTCTATCTTGCAATTGTAACATTTTTATCCGAAAGTTCTCATATAATATTCATATCCTAATTTTAAAACTTTTTGTCTATTAAGTTTATTGAATAAACCAGTTAATGCTCAGCAAAGCAACAACAACAGAAGCTGGTTTGTTCTTTACAGTCGAAAATAACTGAACAACGCTATTAAGAGACATCCCTACCACAGTGAAGAGAGCAGCTACTAAGGGCATACAAGGGTCGTCAGCTTCATAGATGATCATGCCCACAATGAAGGACAAGATTGAGCTGAAGAGGCTCCCGTGTATGGAGTATGAGGACGTCTATTAAAAGGGGATTGTTCCTGAGATTTACTTTTCACTATATCACCCCACGAATCTCCCTGCATTAATTAGGATGCCTTCAGGATTTGTGCCGATGCCCTTGTAAGCTGTGCTCCATGAAGGGATGCGGTAC